GTGCTCCCTGCCTCCCACCCCCTTTCCTCACTGCCGCGCGCGCCCCCTGCCTCCCACCCCCTTACCCCACTGCCACGCGCCTCTGGCTCCCACTACCACGCGACCCCCCTCACTGCTTGGCTGCCCCGGCCCTTGGCTCTGGGCTGGACGCGGCTCCCTGCCCCGCGAGGGAGACTCCGAGGCACAGACATGCGCGGAACTAGACGCGCGGGGTTAGTGTTTCCCACCGGAACTGAGTCGTTAATGCCGTTCGGCGCCTGCCGCCGCCATCTTTTCTGTGAGCCGGTCGCCTGGTTACGGCGGCAGAGCTCGCTCCTGCCAACGCCGCTAGACTCTGCTCACTCCCGGAAGCGCCCCGGAGCCTTGGCGGGGCTCGAGCGGAACGGAAGTGGCTGTGCTTGTTTCCAGCCGGAGCACGAGGGTGCCGGAAGGGGGAGGGGAGACTGGAAGCGCTGCACCGGCGGTGGGTGAAGGATGGCGGGGCTGGCGGTGCGGGACCCCGCGGTGGATCGCTCGCTGCGCTCCGTGTTCGGTGAGCAGGAGCCGGGGAGCGAGACCCCGCCCCCGGGACAGAGACCCCAATACTCCCTCACCCAGCTCTGTCATTGGGGGGGCAACGCCCGGGACCCCCCATCCATATCTGCTTCCCGGACCTCCCTCCCGCCTCCTCTGCGCCCGAGACCCGCCCCCATCCCGGTCTCCCCTCTCCACTCCCCAGAGCACGGAATCCCCCCCGGAGCATCCCTCTGCCAGGTGCCCTCTCACCCCCGGTTAGACCCACTGCTCTGGAACAGAGACTCACCCCAGGGCTTTCCCTCGACAGAGGCCCACAGAGCAGCCCTCCTGTAGAGATCCCCTTCTCCGCCCCTTCCCCACAACCAGGGACCCTTCCATAGAGGCCCACACTCTCTTTCTCTGTGACATCACAGCAGCTTGTTGCAGTGATCATTGTGATGTCGCAATGCTGGTGTCAGAAATGGACCCCCAGAAATAAATAATATGTGTTTCTGAGCAGAATGGGTTCTCAATAAAACACTTCTCAAACCTCTGCTTGTGCTATCTGTGACTCACCAGATACTGGCTGGAGAGAGATAATACCCACAGCAATGTGATCTGCCCCCAAAGCCTTCCCTGGGGCTTGTTGCAGTAAGGGGGAGCAGCACAGAAGAGACCATTGCCTTGGGCATCACATGAAAACCTAAGGCAGGTAGTAAAAGGGAAATTAAGCTCACAGTGCAGCCTTGCAAAACAGACATGAAAGTCTACCAGCTCAGGCACTAAAACTCACCTATTCCTTATTGTAAAGCTGACTTAGAAAGCTAGAGATGCTTTACTTACCCTGAGCAAATGGTGACTGAAGTGTCGCAAGTGCATAAAAATGCTAAAGTATCTACGGGGCGTACTATATATAGATATGAACATTTTTTGCTTTCAATCTGAAAGCTCTTTTCTGCTGTACTACCTCTTGTGTACAGCTGGTAAAAAGTTTCCAAGGAAAGATGCTAGCCGTCTTATTCAGTTCCCAAGTTGTCTGCCTGGCAGGGAGTTTGGGATCCCCTGATAGCCATGCAACCTAGCAGCCTGCCAGTTAGGCACATCAGGCAGCCAGTGATCCCAGGGAGCTGGGAAGCCAGCCCATCTGCTAGGTGGGGAGCTTGGCAGTGGGAATGTTTCATTGTTTCCCAAACCATTTTTGGGGAATTTCAGTTCTTTTGACTTTTTGTTCTGAATTGGAATGAAAAAACTTGGAAACTCTTAAGTTTTTTGTGGGATGGAATTTCCGTTTTCCAGAGAGCTCTGTTCTTATGCATGTCACCTGCACAAAGATGCATCATAAGCATCCCTCTATTGTGGGGTTGGTACAGAATGTGGTGTGTTTTTATTTGGTGTAGTGTACCCAGTTTGTATGGACCAAAGGTGTTGATTAATTGGTATTGTATAAGTGGCTTATGTATATGGAAAGTTTTTAAAAGCTGTGATTATTTAATCAGGACAAGGAAGAATTAGATGTGACTAGAAGGGGTTAGTGAAAATTGCAGTACCTCCTTTGCCTTTCCCATTATAAAAGAATGTGTTACTCAAAGTCATAGCAGGTACTCTAGGAACAAACTAAAGAAAATGTCTTTCTGCTGCACGTAGTCAACCTCTGGGATTTGCTGCTCTGGAGTGTCATGGAGTCACATTGCAGAGGGGTTTTAAAAGGGGCTGGATAATTGTTGGAGATATTGGTTGTTATACAAGCTGAGATGAAGTAATCACATCACATACTTCAGGTCACAGGATAACTACCTGTAGGATTCCCCCTTCCCTCCCTCCAAGTGATGTGCAGAAGTGTGCAATCAGCCTGGTGTGTAACAGGGTTCAGGAGCTGCATTCCTCCGAAGCATCAAGTACTGGCCAGTGATAGTGGAACTGATGGACCAGTGATCTGCTCCTCTATCTGAAATCCAATTTTCCTACTCACGGGGGGGTGCAGGCTGTCTCCGAGCCTCCGCCGTGTCATCCTCCTCAGAGCCTTTCTGTGTTCACGTTCTTTGGTCATTGATGTGATGAGTGGAGTTAAAAAGTATACACACAGTTTTTGACTGTTCTGCACTGATTAAGGGCCCGGGCCAAAGTCCAGAGACATCAGTAGATTTTGGATTGGGCCCTGGATGCAGAGACACCTTGGTGTGCTGTGGAAAATCATAGCACTGTCCCCTTTACCTTCCTCAGCATGGGCCCTTCATACTCCTCAGGCAAGTGGAACCACCAAACCTGATTAAACTAAATATTCCACCAATATTTTCACTAAAACAGATAGGAAAAGAGTGGCAGAAAAAGCATGAAATGAGACCTGCCATTCCTCTAATAAAGGGTTAGGAAGCTGTCCCAGGCTCGCTGTAGTCCCTGTATTGTACATACCTGTGTCCTGCACTGATTGATACCAGCATGGTAGTAAAAATGGGGAGAAAGAAGGAACTTGCACCAGTATTGCCCCACTGTTTTGTGATTCACTGACGCAGTGTATGACCCACTCATCTGACAAATAAGGTCAGATCTTCTCAGATGGTGATTTCTAACCTTTTCAGGCAAATCTTCCTGTTTGGACTTCAGTAGTACTAGCCATTGCCTGCTATCTCCCATTGGATTATGTACATTCTAAGCTCTCATGGAGCTCTTGGGCTGCTCCTAATCCTACTTTTATGAGCACTCTACGCTCCATGGTGGGTTGGGCAGCACAACTGAAAGGGAGGCAGGCAGCTCTGGCATTCTGGAGACCAGAGGCTCATCATTAAGCTTGGAGGAGGGGAAGAGTCTGGTGGACTAGTCCACAAAATCCTGAAACATAAGTAGTAGTATCCAGCCCATAATAGGAACCATTAGTTTAAGAAACAACTACACGCTTTCCTGAAATTCCCTTCTGATCTGTACCTGGGTTGAGGCACATCACCAAAGTCCTAAAATGTGCCCCAGCCTGGATTCTGTACTAGCAATGGGACACTGCACCAACATGAGCATCAGGAGCAATGGTGTATATACACAAAAGTCTGCAGTCCTGCAGCAGATTGCCAGAAACCTGTCTGTGTGTGTGTGTTCATGCAGCCATCCCTGGGTTCATTTCTGTTCTTTCCTGTCTTCTCATGGAGAGATGTTCATGCCTGTGTTTTTTCCTGATACTTGATGTCTGTACTGATATGTTGCTCCCCTCTCCCATAGTGGGGAATATCCCATACGAAGCCACAGAGGAGCAGCTAAAGGACATTTTCTCAGAGGTCGGACCTGTCGTCAGTTTCAGGTGAGAACTGTTTATCTTTTTGGCATCTCCCATAAACAGACAGGTGATCTCAGCTGCAGCCGATTCTGCACTTATCAGCACTCCAGCCACATGCAGATGGGTCTCAGGCATACTTGGCAGACACAAGCTTTGAATGAGGTAGTCCGTCATCCTGTTGGGGACTGAACAGAGGGTATGGAGATGGCATTACCAGTCTGGAAAATGCTGTGGTATTGTGTAATACTCTCCCCATGTGCCGTACTGCATCTAATGCCTGTGATTCTTTCGGCTCTGCCATCCAGGTTGGTGTATGACAGGGAGACAGGCAAACCAAAGGGATATGGCTTTTGTGAGTACCAAGACCAGGAGACAGCGCTCAGCGCCATGCGGAACCTGAATGGGCGTGAGTTCAGCGGGAGGGCGTTGCGTGTGGACAACGCAGCCAGCGAGAAGAATAAGGAGGAACTGAAGAGTGAGTCTGAACTTTGGGTTGGGGGGGGTTAATGCTACCATAATGTTTGGCCTAAACCAGCCTTACAAATCTGTAACAAAAATCTACTAGCCAAGACACAAAATCTAGACCCCCACCCGAATCGGAATGAAGTTGACAATGAAAAGCTCACAGATAGCTGATGTGCTGCAGGTAAGATAGCAAGTAGAAGTTTTTGGGGGGATTGTAATTTCCATGACCAGACAAACCCTACCCATACATGCTTTTTGTGATTAATGAAGCTCCACATTTGACAAAGAGGTATATGAAGAATAGCCACATTATTGTGACATCCAGGGTCCTAGCTCATGTAGGAGACTGTATTGCAGATCTGTGTGAAACAATCTTTCTAGTGAACCATGGCACAGCCCTCAACTCCTAATTGACTTAGTAGGAATTCCGGGCATGTTCAGAGCCCAGACTTTTAGTCAGTGACCCATATACTCTCCAACTGCAGAATGGTGCTCCTGAATCTGTGTTTCAAAAGTACATTTCCCTCCCTCCTGCTTGTGAAGATGCAGCTGTGCGTACATCATCCTTGAGTTATTGGCCTTTCAGCTGAAGGGGTCAGTGCGAGAAAGCACCAGCAATTGTGCTGGTGACTCCTGTGATGTGAAACGAGACTGAGACCAGCAGCTTAGGGTTCCCAGGACACTTGTGTGTTTAACCTTTCCTCTTTGTCTTCCCCTCTCTATCCCTGCCAGGCTTGGGCACTGGTGCCCCTATCATAGAGTCACCATATGGAGACCCTATAAATCCTGAAGATGCTCCTGAGTCTATCAGCAGAGCAGTTGCCAGCCTGCCGCCTGAGCAGATGTTTGAGCTGATGAAGCAGATGAAGGTGAGTGGGAGCGAAGTGGCTGGAACCAAGTCACGAACTTGCAACCGTGGTCTTACAGTGCAGAATAATCCCATCCCCATCACACGAAAAAACTGGCAGCAGCAGTTCCTCACTCACAACTCTGTGACATTGTCACTCCTTTAATGCCTCGTATGTGCCACTGCTGCTGCAGGGTAGAATGGTCCAGAGGGTCAATCAGTATCTGGGGTGCTGCCATGAGGAATATAAGCAGGTTGGACGAGGACGTGAGTTGGTCTAACAGCTGGACTTACTGTTGTGGAGAGCTGGGCTGTCTAGTGTCCTACTTCCCTATTTTCACTCCTTGGTTTGGCTAATACTGTGGACATTGGAGAAGAGGAGATGATCATGGACAATAGGATGTGGATCAGGCACATTTTTGTGAGCAGCCTGAGCTGTGTGATTTCATTATTAACTGTCCTTGTGTTTCAGATAGTCCACAGCATGAGTCTCTCAGGTGCATTATTGGTTGTTTTATTAACCATGCCAGCACCGTGTAACGTACCAGGCAAATGAAGCAAAACGCTCCTCCCTTTGAGATATTGCCATTCCTGCATTTCCAGGAACATCGCTGCCCCCATGGGGTTGCAGCAACAGTTATCAGCGAAGGGCTTAATACTGCACAGCAGCAGCGAGACCCATTGAGAGCTCTGATCTGTGTGTTGCTCTTTAGTTGTGTGTGCAGAACAGCCCTCAGGAGGCACGGAACATGCTGCTCCAGAACCCTCAGCTGGCATATGCCCTGCTCCAGGCCCAAGTGGTGATGAGGATCGTCGATCCAGAGATCGCTCTGGTATGTATGATCCCGCTCCTCAGTCTGGGATCGACGGAGACACTTGTCTGGAGAGGTGGGGCTGTGGGTGGATTCCAGGAATGGCCATGTCTAGTTGGTGCATGCACAACTTCTTTCTCCTCCATCTTCTGCCCTTAGAAAATTCTGCATCGTCAGACCAGTGTTCCACCTCTGATTCCAGGCAACCCACAGCCAGTTCCAGGGCCCGGGCCTGGGCCTGGACCAGGTCCTAATGCACAGATGAACCAGCAGAATCCCCCATCGTCCCAGCCACAGCCCATAGTAAGAATCTGTTTGTTCAACCCACATTATTGAGATGGAGGTTAAGGGTGTGAAGTCTCCATGTGGAAGATGTAAGTGTGTGTTGTTGAGAAGGCTTCTCTGTGTGAAACCCTGGTGTGTGGGGGAGCGTTGTGAGGAGGGGTTCTCCGCCTGCAACCCTGGTGCAGTGTGCGATGCTCATGTCTGTTGGTGAGAAGGGGCTCTCAATGTGATTTCTTCCCTCTACAGGGTGGCATGCATGTAAATGGAGCTCCTCCTCTGATGCAGCCTCCTATGCAGGGTGGAGTGCCAGCCCCAGGACAGATGCCAGCCTCTGTAGCCGGCCCAGGCCCTGGCCCCTTGGCTCCTGGAGGTGAGCTCCGTGAGCATGTCTGAACTGCAAACTATAAAAGTTTCCCAAAGCTTCTGCAGGGACAACATGCCCCATGAGTACGGGGGCCTTGCAGGCTTTTAAGAGAGGCAGTTGCACATGTGGAAGATTTGAAGCCTAGGGAGTAACTCTTGGGTCAGCCAACTGGAGGGGGTCACTCTGTCTCTACGGCCTGTTAGGCCAGGTGGAAATCTGTCTGCCAGTGGCAGGGTGGGGCATCTTTATAGGAGCAGAATAGTGAGGGCTGTGGGGACAAATAACCAGAGAGAGGGGTTGAGAGTTCTCTGCTCTTCCCTCCCAGGTGGAATGCAGCCTCAGGTTGGGATGCCAGGAGGTGGACCAGTGCCCTTGGAACGTGGACAAGGTAAACCAGATGTCAGTTAATCCATGTTTGATGCAACGTGTCATAGGGATACCTATTTCCAGGCCAGGACGTTGAGACGTTCAAGGCCACATGCCAACAGAGTTGTTGACGGAGCAGGGAATCCCCCCAAGCTAACTGAATGTGTAAAAGTTTTCCCAGCCTGTCTGTGTGCACCTGTCCTTCTGTCTGTCTGTGAGTATAGTGAGCAGGGAGAGTGATTCCTTCTCCAGTAACTCTCCTTCTGGTACTTTGCATGTCCAGGTGTGGGCGAGCCAGCCTGTTGCCTGCTATTTGCTACTGTTGAGTCTCCTGTGCTTTCTTTTGCTTGTCCAGGAGAGGGAGCAGTAGCTTTTCTTTTGCACAGAATAGTGATGTGTGTGGAGTGATGATCAAAGCAGAGTGTGTTTCTATGGAGATGTTTTGCGTAGTCCTCCCTCCCTAAGTGGAAGGCTGTACACCAGTGTCTTGGAATGCGATTTAATGCAATTAGACAGTTAAAGTGGGGACATCTCATTGTCCAGTGGCCCCAATTTATCACAACAAAGGGATCCCTGTTCTTTCATATTGTGGGACATGGGGAGAGTGAATATCCTCCCTCAGCCTTCTAACAAAACATGGTAAATTCCTTTTGGGATCTCATATTTTTACATACCTTAAAAGCAGCTGAATCTGAGAGAGGCTTGTTGTGATTTCACCTTTGGGTCCTTCACCCCCATGAACAGCCCCAGTGCCTCCCCACTGCTGCCAGAGCTTTGCCAAGAAGCAACCACATGAAATAATTCTTAGCAGCTTCCCTGCTGTTTGCAGGGCTTTGAATAGCAGTGATGAAACTGAACCAGACTTTTGTTAATTTCTGTGTCTGCTTGGGGAAGCTCTGAGCAGAGGCAGTGGAGCTGTCTCCTGCGCACTCAGGCACAGCCTGACCACCTCATGCTGCCTCCCACTTACAGAAGGTTATTCTGAAACTGTAAGGGCTACAAATGTAATATATTTTAAATGAAAGTGTAAATGCAACAGAACTTGATGGTGTAGGTCCCTGTCCCCTCCGCCACACAGTGACCAGGGAAAATAGTGCCTAGGTGAGTGGGCTTTTCAAGCCATGCAGAAGAGGCCATCCTCCTCACAGGACTGGCGTTCGATGGTCTCCATCCAGTGGGAAGATCTGACAAAGCCAGGCCTGCAAGATTGGCAGCATCTCTTTAAAATAAGCAGTCTGATTCTGTGGGAGCCTGCCTTACGAGGAACACGCTCACTCCGCTGAGGCAAAGGCGTCTGTGCAGCACTAGTGGGTCTGTGGTGTGTGTGTGCGCGTGCGCTATTTATGTGTCTGCTCTTTTCCCTCTTTTCCTGCTGCTCACCCAGGAAACCTGCAGCTCTCGCCCGTGGGACCTGCCAGGCCTGCATCTATTGAGCGAGTTCAAGGTATCCATGACAGCTGCCAGCTCCCTTTGTCACGGGGCTTAGTGTGGAATGCATGGAAAAAGCCTGGACTTCAGCACTAGGGTTCTCTTCACTTGGGGTCGTGGGACTGCTCTGTGTAGTCTGCCCAGTGTGGAAATGAGCACTTGTCAAAGGCAGAGCTGCCTCCGATGTAGGAGGAGAGACTAGCCTAGGGTTCTGCATAGAGGGGTAGGAGATTAACCCAGTACATGTGGAAACAGACAGGAGAGAGGAGGCCATCCAGGCTCATGCTCGGCTTTTGGACCTCATGGACGTGGGGTGACCGGGTTTGATCTGGGCTGTCTAGGCTCACAGCTGACCTTGTGACTCACGCTGGGTGTGACCAAGACTTGTTGGTAGTTACTGTGATCTTGGTTCTCGACTTTTGTCAACAAGCCATGGCAGTCGCTGTGGGGGACAGGAAGGTCTGAACTTAGCACTGAGGGTACCCGCTTCTGTGAGCTGCAGTGTTGTCTATGGGAAGATTTCCTTCCTGTTTGCTGTGCATCGCTTCAAGCTACATCGTGGACAGCAGTGTTGACTCTGTCCAAAACCAGGTCTGTGAGCTACAGGGAGCACTGGGGATGGGATTCGGTTGCACCTCACTGCCAGGGGCAACAGGAGTGGTGTTGTCTCACAGGAGGACTTTGGTGTGATTGTTCTTGCCAATGCTTGACCTCAGTAATTTCCCTTGCTTGCCTCCCTGGCAGTGCCCATGCCAGACCCGAGGGCCCCTATGCAGCGTGGACCATTACCTGCTAGCGGCCCACCACCCCGGGGCCTTCTGGGAGATGCCCCAAATGACCCACGTGGAGGGACCCTGCTTTCAGTTACTGGAGAAGTGGAGCCCAGGTGAGTGGGCCAGAGGATGAATCGGTACCAATCTGAGCCTTTGAGGCTCTGACTCCCCCCTCTTGTGGTCGGAGTGTTGGTTAAGTGGCACTGCCTGCCGGGTGAACTGCTGGGTCCCATGCTGGCGATCCAGGTACACATAGCTGTGCAGCAGGAAGGGAGGATGGTATTCGTGGCCACTCAGACTGACTAGGCGAGGTGGAAACATTAGCATCCATCCCTATGTGCCAAACTCCCCCACTTTCTGTGCAGCTGGCTTTGTGCTTTGGTCAAAATACTGTACCTGCTCGGTGCCAAGCTTGTGTCCGATTCACCTTTCTCTTTCTGCTCTGTTTTCCTTATCTCTCTCTACAGAGGTTACCTTGGGCCACCCCACCAGGGTCCACCCATGCACCATATGCCCGGCCATGACAATCGTGGCCCACCCCCACATGAAATGAGGGGAGGACCAATGGGAGAACCCAGGCCATTGATGGGAGAACCTAGAGGGCCTTTGATGGATGCTCGAGGTGAGAGGGTGGCTGTAAATGAAACGTGAAATGACCAAGAGAGGAGCCGGTTACCCAGGGATGTGAGGAAAATGGGAAGGTGGGACATTTCAGCAGTGAAGTGAGATGCAGAGAAAGTTATACAGGGTTGGAGGGAGGCACTGGGGGGAGGGGGAGGTGTAGTTACACAGGGCAAGGGGAGGAGAAGTTCAAATTTGTCATTTTCCAAAAGCAGGTGCCGTTCACACACCGTCCCTGACCCATCTTGGTTTTCTGCCAGTCATTAAACCAAAGGAGGCTTAACTTTCAAAAGTGGGTCTGTGCCCCCAACATTCTCCCACACACAATTCCCTTCCAGTGGTTTGCTTATGGCATGTTTTTTCTCTGCAGGTGGAAGAGATCCCAGGGGCATGGAACCGAGAGGGATGGAGCCCAGAGGGATGGAACCGAGAGGGATGGAGCCCAGGGGCATGGAACCGAGAGGCATGGAGCCCAGGGGCATGGAACCGAGAGGCATGGAGCCCAGGGGCATGGAACCGAGAGGCATGGAGCCCAGGGGCATGGAGCCCAGGGGCATGGAGCCCAGGGGCATGGAGCCCAGGGGCATGGAGCCCAGGGGCATGGAGCCCAGAGGGATGGATGCCAGAGGAATGGAACCCAGAGGGATGGAACCCAGAGGGATGGAGCCCAGGGGTCCTGGCCCCAACCCAAGGGGCCCAATGCCTGGTGGAATTCAAGGACCTGGGCCACTTAACTTGGGAGCAAGTGGCCCTCAGGGACCTAGACAGGTACACACAGCGTCTTCTGCTTTAGTCTTAATCTAATAGATAACAACAAGCACTTAGTGGGAGGGTTCTAGGTGATGTCAATTCTTTAACAGCCTGCATCCCACTTGTAATGCTAACCGGCTGACCAGGCCTACCAGCAAACCCCAGGGAATTGATAGCATTCCCCCTCCCAAAGGATCCTAGGTCAGGGCATCCCCTGCTAGCTAGCACCAGGGTATTACCATGTGGGCTGCAGGGACCTGGGGCTGCTGGCTCTTGTCCGAGCTATAACACACGTGCCAACCTGCATCGTTCTCCTGACCCCTCTTGTATGGAACTCACAATACATACAGGTGAGGTTTGGAAAAAGTGTAGGGACCCCCAGGCCACTTCGGCCCCTCGGCCTCTTCCTGTGACTTGCCCTCTCCTCTGCCAGGCCTAACCACGGTGCACTGGGGGGAGGCATGTTTTCCCTTTTGCAGGGTGCAGGCAGGGGACTCAGGGCAGGGGGTTGGGGTGCGGCA